TTTTCCATTTTTCTTCCCTTTGCATTCACTAGTTTGTCATGTATTCCCCACTCCATCCTGGTTCTTGCTCTGAGATGCTCCCCTTTAAGCTTCTACTTACATGATTTTGAAAGGCATTACTTTCCCTTCATATACTTGGCCAGTTGTAAAATTTTAAAATGTATATATTTGTGAGCATGTGGGAAGGAAGACCCTGTGCCCACCTTAACTTTACACCTTGGAGAACATATCATAAATGTACAGGAAAAATCTAAGTCCCAAGGATTTCCTGAGTTCAAGGAGCAGAATCCTATTTCAGCTTATCATAGTCAGAAACGAGGTAAAGAGGGAGTTACCTTGGGAAAATCAATCCATAATGCAAATGTGTTTTGAATTCAAAGGAATGTCTTGCAACCTGTGTACGAAAGGAAAACAAAACTCTCACAGAAGTATTAGACAGGGTACATGATAGAGGCAGGATCCTCCACCATCACAAAAAGAAAATATATTTTATAAAGATTTTTGGTATTTCAGGGACTGCTAAGTCTAGGTAGGGACTGTGTTGCTATTTTTTGGTGAGGTATACCCCAAGGTGAGAAAAAAGAGAATGTAGTCCATTTCTGAGAACTTACAGATTGGTATGAGTCTTCTTTAGTTGCCCTTGTTTCTGACATCCAGACTAGATGTGAAGAACCTGTTTCAGGGCCAAGTAGTAGGAAAACCACCTTATCAGATAGTCTATCACCTTTGCTAATAATGTGTCTAAATTTGTCCTGTGTGAAGTGTTAACTACTTTGGAGGTTACCGATTTGATAGGCTATATGCTATCACTTCATATATACAGTTCCTGGAAAGTTATTAAATCTTTAAAGAAAATTACAGCAACCAAGAAAAAGCTTTATGCAGCAGAGGCAATAATCCCCTGTAAAGGTCTGTAGCACTGCGTTTGTTTAACACTGCATACAGAAACCAGAGAGGAGGGAACAGAGAGACTTCAGAAGGAATTTCCCTGTCTGGATAGATGTTGGGCTGACAAACATGTGCTGACTTGATATTCAGATGTGGGGATAACATTCAGAAGTTATGGGTGTTACTGTGGTTCTGACCCTCCAACATTTTTTGCGCGGTCACATTGGAAGTACCATAGATGAGATAGGTAATGTAGCCAAGATATTCAGTTGCTCATTTTCCTTATCCTTTTATTTATGGCTTTGTACGCTAAAGTCTGTCCTACATTGCTGATAAAAGCCTTTGTCCTTCACCTCAGCTGGTGTTAGAGGTGAGAGTGGAGAATTTACTAAAGTGGGGTACCAAATTTTTCAGTTATGGCACAATCGAATAAAGCAAGCAGCGTGAGCAGCCTGAGAAACATACAGATCAAAACATATTTAGGGGACTAGCACCTGGGTAATTGTTGTTATTGGCAGTATCCCTTACCTTATCACCAAATCTTTTTCTTTTTTCCTTACAAGCTTAGGACAGAATGACATGCACAGCTCTCAGGAAACTGTAAGATGTTACAATGGCCCCTTGGGACACGCTTTGTGTCAGTATTGCTCTAATGCTCCTGAAAGGCTACTTCTGCTCTGGCACTGCTCAGATTAAGGAAGAGAAAAGCAACTCTGTGAAAGCCAGCTGTTCCCCTCAAAATCCCAGGTGCAGCAAGTCCCACTCTGCCTTTGATCTTTTTCTCTGTTTGACAGTATTTTCTCCTATGTACCTCAGGACTGTGATTGCTGGACATTCTAAAGAGGAAATCAATGGGCATAGATTTACAATTCTTCAGTGTAAGTTTTTAGAACTGAATTACATTTCAGTGAAATTCACCCTCTGCAGGGAGTGAGTGAAGAGCAAGTTCAGCCTGTTAGTGTGACCCACAGTTCCAACTCAAGTCAGTAAAATTTTGGGAAGAGAAAGAATGAAATGTCTGTAACCAATAGGTCTAGTGATATTTCTGTAATAAGAACCAAAAGTATTAAGTCTAGGCCCAAATGGAAAAGAGAGCATTTGGAGTCCTATATGGCAACACAACAGTCAGTGTAAACCCAGCTGAGTTTCCCCAGGGAATATTTTGACCACCTATTTTTACATTCATATATATAGAGAGAAAAATAAAAGAGTTAAAGAAGTTAAAGAAAATGAATCTGTTATCGAAAGGGATAATTGTCTGTGCTGTACCTCCAGCACAGGGGAACAGCACGTGGGAAGGACTGAAGAGCTGTACTCAATACTTTAGTCAATTCCCTCACCTGCTTTTAACAGTGTGAAACTCTGGTTTGATTGTGCAGGTGGTGAAAACTACGGCTAGAAGGATGCAGGGACAAATCCTCACCATGGCGCATGGCAACCCCAGAGCCAGATACACTTGTGTGGCTTGTGTGTTTCTGTTTACGCTCAAGGCTGCTGAGCCCCATGGATATCCCCTTCACCATCTGAGAGCACAAAGAGTTGCAGGGATATTGGGTGGCAGCACAGAGTCCTGTGCCTGGGGATTCCTTGGCAGCCTCAAATATAATAACCTAACTAGTATTCCAGCTGAAGTCCAAAAGAAATCAGCACAAGAAAAGATTACTTCTTGCTCCACTTTCCCATAGCTACGCAGAAACAGCAGTAAGGGTACTCAGAGTGCAACTATATTGAGTGGGAAGTGCTGTCTTTGGGACTCCCCCTGGGATTTATTGAACTGGAGGTCACCAAGTCCTGGCTCTCCCTTCCCACCTTAGGGAGTATGAGCAGGATCTTGCAGTAACAGAATGTATTAAATCCATTAAAATAGCATAATAAGCTATTCCTGACCAAAAGGGGCACAATAAGTCCTGCTGCATCTCAGAAGATGCTTTATAAAGGGCAGAATCATAATGAGTTTGTGAGATGGCTGCTTATGGTCATGGAGCTCTGATCTGTAGCCAGGAGTTGTGGGGCAGGATGCTGCCTGTGGGTTATTGCCAAAAGCAGACCAGGCAATCACCCTTTGTCTTTAGTGTTCTCAGCCAAGAGTTTTGTAGTTGTGAAAATGAGGGCTTATAGAAAAATTGCATTTTAGGGTCAAGTCTGGTCCGTCTCGGAATGAAAGGGCAACAAAGTGTTCCTGAGTGGGAGCAGTCCTCTGCAACAATATCCAATGCTTTATCCTCTCCAGACTTTATTTGAAAAGGATAATGGTTAGACGCCGATCTGAAAGCAGAGGTTACAAACAAGGAACCGTAGGACTGTATAGCCTTCTAAGTATGAATCGCACTGCTAGCAATTTTTCACTGAAGAGAGAAAAGTAAGAAGGTAGATAAGGAAGATACTAATGACTACTTCTTAAAGTGCAATTAACCAATAATTATTTACATCTCCCCTGCTGGAAGCAAAGCAAATGTTTTGTTTCCTTCCTGCAGTGGCCTGCCTGAAGTTTAAGGCTTGCTAGCACTGAGGCCTGACTTAAATGAAGGAATCTATTGGTGCATACTGGGGTGCTTCTGCCTTCAAGTCAGTCCCTCTGGCCATGCCTGGCAACTGTCCTCTCCCTTCATGGTGTGCCATCTGCTCTCCACAGCCATCCCTCAGGCCACTCACTCTCTTTGCCTCTTCAGCACTTGCTTTGGCCCAGTCCCAGAGCTCAGATTTGCTGTCATTATTTTGGGGTTTGGGAATGACTGTTTGTACAACACCATAAATTCAGGGGAAACTCTTTCACAGCTGCTACCTTGCAAGAAAATTCTGAACCTAGTCTCCTCTTGCCCTTTTTGAGCTCTAATATCTATGTTCCAATCCTGGAGTCTGTATCCCAGCCTTCTTTTATGGTGATCAGCCAGGCACAGTGTTTTCTGGCCTGTGCTTTGGTAGGCTATAGGGATTACTTGCCTTTCTCTATCTAATGAATACATTTTCCTTTTTGACAGAAATGCTTCACAAACATGATAGCACAGTGCAGACAGAATAAACATTTCAAGCCGTCCCATGGATCTCTTTTGTTTATTCCCTCTTTGTTCTACCAGTTGTCAACATAGTGTTCCTTCTTGTTTGAAATCCGAGCCCTTCTTGAATTTTGAGATGATCTATAAAGGTTTTGCATTTATTTCAGGCCTTATCCAGAATTACAAATATATCTCTGAACTTTTGAGAACAGCAATAAAGCTGCTACTCAGTTGCAAACTAAGTGAAGTTTTCTGAAGTAACTCCTCTTCTTAGAAATACACGAGGAAGAGATCATGTTCCTCCATCCTGTGAAACCATATGGGAGAGACAGCAATCCTAGCCATAGGGTTTGGGTTTGGGGTTTTTTTGTTTGTTTCCAGTTCTCTTAATTCTTGAAAACATTTATAGAAGAGCTAGAAATTTACCTTTGGTAATGTCAGATGAATGCATCTTTAAATTGGGCATTGGGGATAGGAAATATTCAAGAGTCTTAGCATTACAAACGGTTATCTCTGATCATTATCATTTAGGATATAGTAATCTACATTAATTACTATAAGGATTTGAACTATCTGTTACTCAGCAGTAAAAGGCTCAGAAGTGTTCTCATGTTGTAATAAATACAGGGCTTACTCCACTAAGAACCTGGCAGAAGGTACATCACTGTTGTAATAGGGGAGTTTGCAAACACGTACACGCAGAACATAAATGTCTGTAAATAGAAGGACAAGTCTGCATAAATCCACACCTCCTGTTGCCCACAAAAGCAAATACTTGGCAGTTTTGTAACACACCTTACAATTTGCCTTGCCTTGGTACAGAAACTGGTATTAAATGTAGGCTATTTTCTGGATGTTATTGAATTATCTGAATTAAAACAAACAAACATAAAAATCCCAACCACAAAAAAAAAAAAAACCCTCACAAAGCACCAAAATTCTGTAGACTAAGAGCACTCCAAACTACTCTGTTTGTATGGTAAAGTTCATGTATTGCATACAAAGATCCAAGGGCTTGTTCATCTTTTAGGGAGGCTGCTCTTTTCAATTCATTTTCTCTCAAGAAAATCCTTCAGAGTTAATGCAGTAACTTTGATATCCATTTTTTCTGTATTTCAGAGCAGATAACAATAGCCTTCACAGTGTCCATGCTGATTGGACTGGTGATTGGAGGGATCATCTGGGCATTGTTCACTTGCTTGTCCCGTCGCAGAGCTAGTGCCCACATTTCCCAGGGGAGCCCCTCAACCTTCAGCCGTCGGTCCAGACCCTCCTCCCATGGCCACACTAACAGCAGGACTGGATTTTACCGCAACAGCAGCTGTGAACGTCGAAGCAACCTCAGCCTGGCCAGCCTCACCTTCCAGCGGCAAACCTCCTTGGAGCAG